GTTGTCCTTGACTTTTCTTGTTCATACCCTACGTCTAGCCTTGATGGCTCCACCTCCCAAACTGTACAATCTAGGCACTTCTCACCATCTCCACAGCCACCACTCTGATCAGCAGCAGCAGTCTCCTCACTGGTCTCTCTCCCTTCCATCCTGGCCACACGGATCCTTTTAGAACAAGTCAGATGATGTCACTGCTGTGCACACAGCACACAGAGTAAAAGCCAAAGTTCTCAGAAGCACCTACAAGGCCCCCTGCAAGCTGGCTCCCAGGCCCATCACCTCCTTGACTTCATGCCCCACTACGAGCCTCACATCAGGCACAGCCCGACCTCAGGGCCTTTGCACTTGCTGTTCCAGCTGCACATTCCCTCACCGCCCAGAGCAGCCTTCCCTGATCCTATATAAAGTGCAACCACCCACTCACCCTTTACCTCTCCTGACACTTTCCTGCTTTATCTTATCTCTGTGGCACTTATCACCCATCTGACATATTATATACGTATTTGCTTATTTGTTTATTGTCCATCTCCCCCATAAAGGCAAGGGTTTTTACCTCTTTTGTTTACTGCCATTTTTCCAGAGCCCAGACTAACACAGACTAGAAATTCATGCCGAATGATGATTGAATGGGCCTTGATGTCATCTCCTCTTTCCACGATGAAAAGTAAAAGTTGGGTTCTCAATTTGAGGTCCCAAAGCTTGATACAGGTATTTCCCTATATCTGTATTCATCCTTCACTCTTACTTCACAAGGGGGTATCTCACCTCCTCATTGAGCTTAAATCATCTACCTGGGCTCCTAGGCCTAGAGCCCCTCCTCCTTCCTTACTGGTCTTATTCTAGCAACTTCTTTCTTTCTCTTCCATCTTTTTCTTCTTTCTATTCCCTCCATATTCAACCTCTGCTTCTCCTCCTCTAAAAACATTCTCATGGCTTCTATATTTACAAAAAAAAGGAAAAGGCTCCCCGTATCTTGCTACACTCTTTAGCTACCATCCTATTCCCTTTCATCATACAACCACTCAAAGGAATAGTTGATATCCTGTCTGCGCTGCCTCCCTGCACTCACTCCTCAATCCTGCAGTCTGCTTTCCGTCACCACCACTCTACGGAAAGTATGTCTTTGAAAATCCCGGGGGGCCGCCTAATTGGCAAGCCCAGTGAATTTTTCCCAGTCCTCCTCCTCATGATCTCTCCAGTGACACTGTGAACCCCCCCAACCCTCCTCCTGGAAACCCTTTTCTGTCTTGACTTCTGTGGTGACCCACTGTCCCTGTCTTCTCTCACTATCCTGAACATTCCTTCTTGGCCCCCTTCCCCTCCGTTCACCTCATGGCCATTTCATCCTAAGTTCTGTTCCCTCCATGTGCTCTGATATAGAGATCTCGTTCATGGCCAAAGCTTTAACCCATGTCTTTGTGAGGAGGACTCCAAAACCTACAGTTCTTTCCACTCTTTCAAGCTCCAGTTCCAGATGTTTAGCTGCTTTCCATACATCGCTACTGCCTGCAGGCTCCACCGTCACCTCAAACTCAACATACGGAACACTGATGTCTTCATCTTCCACAAAATCCACTTCTTCTAACTCCTGGCTTATTAATGGAACTAGCATTCTGTTCCTATTCATGGAGCCTCAGAATCATCTTTGATGTCTTCCTCTCCTTCACCCCTACATCTAATCAATTTGTAAGTGCACTGGTTCTACTCTCATGGTATCCTTGGCACCCATCTCTTCTTTTTCATCTCTGTGGTCAGCACCCTAATGCAACCCCCCCAACCCAGTCTACCTAAAGAACAACACATCTCCTCATTCAAAATCTCTCCTATTTTGCCTCCTTCCTGCCCAGATCCACCAGATACATTTTCCTAAATTATAGATCTGATCATGGCATACTCCCAACTGAAACATGGCCATGGCTTCCTACATTGCCACTAGATAAGATTCAAGCTCCTTAGTCTGATATTTTAAGACCAACCAGAGGCAAGCCCCAGGCCACTGCCTATATGCTCTCAATCTACTATATTCTTCAAACACTTATGCTTTCCTGTCTTCACTAAGAACCCTGTCTCTCCAATGACCCCACCCACTTTCAAACTCCTATTCCTCTCCCAAGGCTCTATTTAAAACCCACACTCAACACACTCCTCCGTCTCTTCAGCTGATACTGATCTTTCCTTTTTCTTCACTCCCACAGAGGTTTCTCCATATCTCACTCATTAGGAATGACTTCATTTTAAAGTTCCAGTTCTTTCTCCCCTTACTAAACTCTAGACTCCTTAAAGATAAGATGCACATCTGATCTCCAACGTGCATTGAAATTTCCACCTCTAGAGACATCTGAGATCAGTCCAGTCACAGAATCAGGATCATAAGATAATATGGACTCAACAACTCTGATTCCTATTTCTTTTTCTTGTCTTATTGCACTGGCTAAGATATCTAATACAAGTGACAGTGGCAATAACAGGCATATTTATTTTGTCCCTGGTGTACCAGGAATGCTTCTAATGTTTCACAAGAAAGTGTTATGTATGCTACAGATTCCTGGTACCTACCCTTTATCAAGTTAAGAAAACTACCCCTATATTCTCTGAGATCTAAGCTGAAATAAGACATAAGGAGTTGTTGGATCAAAATGGAATGAGCCAGGAATATAGTATTGAGGCATGGAGGAGGTATTGAGCCAAAGAAGAAAAGGCAGAACTGCCGGAGAAAAGCCAGGAGAAACCAGATCAAGTTCATGGCCATGAAGAGACTCTCCCTCAGATCTGAGCTTCCTGGGTTACTCATACTGAAGCTTATGTTCCAGCTTCTTGCAGAAGAACATAGAAGCAGCAGGAAGACGTGGTACTGGCCTATTCCCTGACTCCCAGACTGTTGTACACAATGCTCCTGCCTTTGCACCTTTACTTACACAAGCACTGCAGACACTCTGCAGGGCTACTGAGGAATTTGTGCTGACATAAATACTTTCATGACAGGGCATGGACCAAGGAGTCCCCTTTATAGCCCTGGGGACCAAATATATCTGTCCCCTCTATACATCTCATCCCTTCTCCTGACTGAGTCACTCACAGTTAGTGGAGAAGATGATAGCAGGGTTTGGGACAGAGACATTGTACCAACATCCCTCCCTCCCTACGACTCCTTGGCAGCCGAAGTCTGGGCAGCTAAAGATATGGATATTGACAGTCAAGACTTCAGAAGCTGGTAGGAGAGAAAAGGCTGAGGGAAGATGCACTACAATATGGGCATCCTTCCGGAGCCACTAAGGTATGGCTTCCTTTAGAGCAAGCTCCAGGAGAGCTATACAGAGGGGTTTCTGGTAGGGGAGAGGAAATTCACTCTGCTTCCCCAGAGAATCCGCTCATCATTAGGTTAGTGTTACTATTCCTCAGGCCACCTCATCTCTGTAAAATATTAAGAGGGCCCCATTTCTCTCCCTTTAACAAAATCTCTGACAAAGAATCTAGGGGTCCTTCTCTCAGGAGCCCAGAGGTGGGAAAAAGAAGATGGCAGCCCCATGTGGACCACCCCACCTAGTGTTATAGAGCTACTTAGAGCACCTCTAGACTTATAGAGCTACTCATCCTGTGTTTTGACTCTCAGCTAAAAGCAACGATGTGCTCCGAGACCAGCTCTCCAGGCGAGGTGAATCCCTGATAGCCAATTTCCATGCCATAAATGCTTTCCTCATGGCCAATTTGAAGTTAATGACAGTGGAACTCAAGACTGTGCTCTGCTCTGAAGTACAGCAGGGCATCCCTGCCCCCACACCCCGGTCCTGGACTCAGCCTAATAGCCAGCCAGCCTGCCCTCAGCTGCTTCCCCAAACCCACTGTCCATCCCCAGGGAGGGGTCTCCCTCTCTCCCTGCAGCTGCTATGGTGTCTCAGCTTCCCTTACATTTAGGGAGAGGGGTGGAGGGCAGAGTCAGCTGCCCAGGCTCCTCTTCTCCTCCCTGAGCTCCCACCACCCTGTCCACTGAGGGGCTTGGCACAAGGTCCCCTAGCCCCCGTCTCTAGTCCACCCCTGCCTGGCCCCACCTCCACAGTTAAACAAACCCACAGGATTTCCCACCGAGTGTGGCTGCCCCCATGGAATGGTCATGGGCTTAGGCCCGTAAGAAGGAAGGGAGCCCTTCCTGTCCCTCCCAACATGGCCCTGCACACTCTGCCATTTCTTGCCTTGATCTCCCCAATAAGCTCTCTGGTCACCGCATTCCCTCACCTCCCTCCAGAAACGTAAGCCCATTCTCTGGTAGGAAATGGAGCTTTGTTTCTCAGTGCCTGCTTCTCATCCACAGTGGGTCCGAAAGCAAGGACTAACAGGAAAGCTGAAAGAGAAGGGGAACCTTGGCCTCCCCACCAAAATGAGACCTACCCAGAGGGGACCCACCAGGGTTGAGCACTCAGGTAGAGCCCCGGCCTTAAGGACACCTCCCTTCTCTGTTATGCCTCTGGGAGGGCCCAAGGGGGAACCTGGGTCTACAGAAGCCTCCCTCCAGCCTTCTCCACACCTTCCCCCAGGAACTGAAGTCTGAGGATGCAGGCAGTTGCAGAGAGCATCTTTTCTCTGCCTAGAAAATCTGTACTCCAGCCCCAAAGTCACCACTTCCAGGAAGCTTTCCCTGATTGCTCTAGGTGGTAAGCCTTGCTTTCCCTCCAGCTCTGGGGCTTTGGCCCCCACCCCTGTCAGAGCACACCTTACATTCCTGTCTACCTTTCCTTTCACTATACTGTAAGCTCCTTGAAGGCAGGAACGGAAAGACATTGATCTTTGAATCTCAATGCCTGCCTTAGAGCCTAATAGACAATGAACACAGGGAGGGATGGCTAGCGTGTGGGCTCCTGACAGCCTCTTCCCCAGGTCAAAGCAGCGCCTGCCAAAGGTGATGGCTGCCCCTGCACCCTCCCTCCCCCCGGCAAGACCAACCAAGAGGGAAGGCATGGAGGGAGTAGGAAGGGATTCCCAGGACTGATGGTCCCTGAGGTTCTTACCTGCTACCCGGTGGGCCACCAGCCCCTCCAGGTTCAGTGGCTCCTCCTCTGGAGCGCGGGATGGGTCTGAAGTTGCCTCCTTTGGTGGGAGCTGAGGCTGAGCAGTGAGGCCAGGGAGAGAGGCTGGGGGCTGCTGAGGCCCTGGAGGGCTATAGGTGGTTGGAAGGAAGGCAGACGAGGAGGACGAGGCTGGGCTTTTTGGACGGAAACTCTGGCTGGACCCAGCAGGACATGGCTGATAATCGTAAGGGGAGTAAGGCCTGCCGGAAGAGAAGGACTCCAGGGCCAGGGAGGCCCTCGGGGCCGGCTCAGGGGCTCCCAAGGAATGCCCACTGGGGATGTAGCCAGACCTGGACTGGGTCAGTGGATGGGGCTGGCAGGTGGAGCCGGAGAGAGGCTGGGAGGACAGCGGGGAAGCCCCTGGCCAGGCCCCCGGGACACTCTGGGACTTGTGCAGGGGGGCGGCAGCTGCAGCTGGCTCCAGATCCAGCATCAGCATGTTGAGTGCTTCGATGGACTGCTCGATCTCGTGCTGGGAGGCTGCGCTTGGGAACTCAGGGAGGCTGGGGGTGGGGGTCTCAGCCAGTGGCTGGGGGCTGGGCCTGCTGGGCCCGAGACTCTCCACGTGGGCTCTCTCCTGCTGGCGAGGGGGCGGACGAGGTTGCTGCTGCTGCCAGGAATTCAGGCCCCTCTGCACAGCCTCCCGGCTGCTGCCCCCACGGGCTGGAGCCGGGGGCAGCTGGGGCTCGCTCTCCGGAAAGGACTGGGAGCGGAACATCCCGCTGGGGTCAAGGCCATAGTGAGAGGCGGTCACTGGCTGCGGCCAGGCTGGGTGGGGCCCCTCCCGCTGGTAGCCGGCTAAACCCTCCTGTGCAGAGTAGGAGGGCCGCATGGGGGCCGTGTGGCCAGCATGGGCAGGCACCGCCCGGCCGGCAGACTCATAGGGGTAGCCCCCGCCATTGACCATCGGTTCCACGGGGTAGGGCTTATCCAGCCCATTGGTCAGTGAGGACAGGGCCTCCGGGTAGCCTCCCTCACTGGTGTTGGTGACCCCGTCCAGGGAGGACAGTGTGCCCATGCTGCCCACACTGTGCCCGTCCTGGTTGGGCAACTCATCATCCAGGATGTCCGTCTCCCGCTCAGATGCCAAGGCCCCGCCGTTGATGTGAACCTGGGCTGGGACGACGTGGCGGCCGGAGGAGGGCACGGCCGGGCCCCCCACGGGGCGGGATCGGAGATGCTGGGTGCGGTACATGGGCCCTGGCTTCTCTCTCTCGACACCGAAGCCACTGAGCAGGCGGTCCAGCTCGCGCTTCTCCTCGGGACTCAGAGCAGCAGGGGCACTGGAGGGGCCAGGGGCGGGCTCATCAGTCTTGTCTGTCTTGGTGGAGGCTGTGGAGTTGCCTGAGTCGCTGCTCACAGAGAGGGTGTGCTCCACGTGGTTGGGGGTGGCCGACAGGGCAGGGCGCACGGCGTTGACAGCCCCGGTGCTGCCGTGCAGGGAGTCCTTCTTCTTCACCTTGGCATACAGGCTCCCGTCCAGAGGTCCCTGAGTGTGTCCAACCACCTCTGCAAGAGAGCCGGAGGGCAAACAACACAGCAGATGTCAGTGGGAGGCAAGGACACCCTCACTTCTCCCAGAGGAAGGGAGTGAAGAGCTTCCATTCCCTGGATCCCAAAATCTCCACGCACCACTCAAGACAGAGCTAAGGTCCGCGGGTGGGGGAGGAGGACAAAAGGACCCCTAGCAGCCCAGGCTTTTGGGCCCCAATACCCAGCTCTCAGGGCCAGTGCAGCCTAAGCGGGTGGGGAGGGCGGTCTGGGAGCAAGATGTCCCAGTCCAAAGCCTGGCCCTGGCATTTCACCAGCTTCCCAAGGACCTGAAAGTACTGGGCCAAGTTGGGGTTCAGCAAAGCCAGCAGTCCCCGTGTCAGAGGGGACATGCTTTCCCCTGGAACACTGGGCTCGTGGGATTCTGGAAAGAGGATCCAGAGACCAGGGGGGCAGGGGAAGCATCTTAGGGATCCAGAACACAAAAGGAGATGCTCTCATCAGGGAGGGGTGTCCCCTGTGTCATTTTGTCTGGGGACCCCATGAGCAATACTTTCTCTGAAAGGAAAGAATGAGCACTGGATGGCTCAGGGCCAGAGGGCTGACTCAGGAATGAAGAACTTCCCCACCCAGAGGGACTCAGTGATTTCACACCCCGTACAGTCAGCAGCCCAGCTTCGAGCCCTGACACACGCACACACACACATGCACGTGCGCACACACACACGCACACACACACAGAAGCCCCTCCCCTCCCTTCACTCCAAGGCAGGTCCCCAGTTGGCAAGAAAAGAAAGCCCCCTCCCAAATACTGCACAGACTCCAGCCAGACACCAAGAGTCACACACACCCACCATATTCACACACAGGAAAACCAGACACCAAGAGTCACACACACCCACCATTCACACACAGGAAAACCAGACACAAAGACGTCCAGAGACCCACACGCCAACTAATAATCCCCCAAGTCAAACACCCAGAATTCACCCAAATCAAACACCCTGGTGCACTCTCGGGGTCCACTAGATAGGGGCCCCCGAGGCACCAAACACCTTGCAAGGCACTTTACATATACATTATTTCTAATCCCGCGAGTCAGGGAGTATTATACTTTAACGATGGGAGAAAGTGAGGTTCACAGAAGTGAAACCATTTATCTGCAGATACACATTATCTGGTAAAGCTAGATTTAAAATCAGAACTAATTTAAGATTTAATTAAAATAAAACTAAATTAAAAGCAAAACTAATTTAAAATCAGAACTTCAAAAACCATTCAATTTTTATTATTTCACACTGTCTCTCATATCACACACCCACACAGAGAATAAATGAAACACATAAAAGGCAACAATACCCCAAAATAAATACTTAAATCTAAAGCCACAATCATTTCAGAAAATACAAGCTCCTACCATGTCCAAGGATCAGCCCTCAGGCCAGAAGTGGCAGCCTCTAAAAATAAACACTCATACAGAAGCCCACAGCCAAGAACAAGTGATCAGACAACCACAAAACAGGAACATCCTGATCAACATACACACACACAAACCACAGCCTGACCAAATGACGTCACGGGGAGCAAGCACAGCGAGGCCCAACGAGGCACATCGTCCATACACACCCCCCCGGGGGCTGGATGCTCTGCCCATTCACTTAACTCGCCAGAACCATCTCTCTGTCCCCAGTTTTCCCTGGGGCTTTGGGACCTTGGCCAGCAGCAGGTCCCAAGTGATACTGGGCCAGAGTGTGGCCGCAGCCACGGGCTCCCAGGGATGGGGCTGGTCTGAATCGGAGATAGGTCTGAATCTCCAGCAATCTGTTCCTTGTGCTGGGCCCCTGATGGCTGCTGAGATGCGCAGGCATGCCTGCCTCTTCCAAATGGCCTGTCGTTGCCTCTAAAGGTGTCGAAGCTACTGAAGGAGAGAGGCTGCCCCTCACGCCGTGTCCTTCCAAAGAACTGGGCTCCTTGCTACACAAAAAAAGAGACCCCAGCTGGCGGCTCCCACAGGGGGAAAGCGTTGAAGACAAGAGCTCTCCTCCACTCAGATTTCTGGGGGTGGTTCCCATGAGGGGGGCCCCTTAGACCAGTCAGTGGGAGGCTGAAGGGCTGTCCTTCCTTCCCACCTGTGCCCGGAAAGCTGCTGGCCCCAGAGGAGGCAGGCCCGCTCCTGGGCCCTGGCCCCACTCCTAAGCTCATGCTGTGAAGCCAGGGAGCTTCTCCGTCCCCCGCACCCTCTAACCTCCCAAGTTCATGCTCGTGTGGTCTGGGAAGTGGGGGGAACAGCAAAGCAAAGGGTGGAGTGTCCAACAGGCTCCCCATTTACACTCAGGGGCAATAACCTCTGGGTACACAAACCAGCGTAAACCGAAAAGTATTCTCTCCTTCAGGGAGAAAGTAGACCCACCCCCGCATCTCACTTGGGCTCATAAAAGAAGAGCTTTTAGCAAGAGAGCTACAAAAGCATATCCCCCAAGGGAGGCAGGGGGGAAGAATTCACACTGATTACCAGCACCTGACATCTTGCCCCTTTTGGCCCCCTCACTGATTCTGACAACATCGATATTAAACCTATTCTGCCATGTAATTTACCCCCGCACAGACCACTGTTTGCAGCAACATCAAGAACAGTAACTGCCAGGCCGCCGAGGCTGAGCAAGAAAATCGAAGAAGTGTAGATTGTTTAACTAAATCTTTTTCACCCAATACAAATGGAAATGTCTACTGCTGTCCTCCAAGGAGGAGCCGCTGCTCCTGACTCCGAGGGCTGGCCCCACACTCCGGGCTGTCCTGCACCTTCACTGGCCTTCCTTTTCCCATCAAGGGGGGACCGTGAGGACACCCAGGCCCGTCCCGGGTCTGTCTAGCCCCCGGGAGGGCTCATCAGAGAGCCCAGTGCGTTGGCGTGACCCCAGCGTGGCAGGTACCCCTGCTCCTCCCGTTGGAGATGAAGCGCACCCCCCCACACACCGGTAAACACATGCTCCTCCTTCCTTTCTGCCGGGCCACTGCGGCCACATTAAGTGCTACTTAGCAGGACCACAAGAAGCCGGAACACAACGTCAGCTTCAATCTATTAAGGCAGGAAGGGCAAAAGAGAGAGGCGGGCAGAGCAAGGAGGAGGAGGGAAACAGAGCCAGAGGAGAGGGTGGGGGGAGACCGTTTCGAGGCTCTCAAGCCGAGGGGCCATGAGATCCAACTCAGTCCCAGCAGCCTCCAGGGGCACGGCCAACTCAGCCAAATCCTCTCGGGTGAGAGAGCATTGGACGCCCAGTGTGGCAGGGAGCAGGGGACAGAGGAGGAACCTGCCCGATTGGGGCCGTGGGTACCGGCACGGGTAACAATGGAGCAGAAGGACAGACGGTAAGGGCAACACCGGTTGCAGGCAGCCCAGAGTGGGGAGCTCGCCACAACGTCCTGTCTCGTGGGTCGTCTCCCTGGCTGTTTCTCTAGGGAAGCCGAGAAGCCCACAGTCCCTTCAAGGCCCCACTTGCTTTGTCTGAATATGTCTCCTGGCTTCCCCAGCAGCTGCCGCAATCCCCAGCTCCACCCTCAACACTGAGCCTGATTGCACCAAGAGGCCCTTCTTCCAAGGCGGCCGTAATCCAGATGTGCGAGTAATGCTTTTGGAAAGCTCTGAGGAAAATCCCCAGCTGACTTGGACGTGGACCTACTCCTTAGGCTCCCTCCAGCAAGCCACGGAGGTGTGCGTGGTGCTAGAAGCACAGTCCGGGCAGGATGCAGGGAAGGAGAGATGCGTGCATCCTGCACGCTGCAAAGAGAATGGAAGAACGATGGGATGCAAAAGGTGACCTGGGTTTAGGGTGGTTGTTTTCCAATTTCGATGTTCATAGGAATCTGCTCCAGGGGTTGTTAAAAATGTAGATGCTGGGGCCCCACCCCCAACGATTTTCACTCACAGGCCTGGGTGGGGCCAAAAAGCAGTATTTTAACTCTCCCAAGGCTCTGGGGCTCACATAGGTGGATGATATCTTGAGAAACCCTGACCCCAGTGACCAGCACTTTGGACTCTGAGATGAAGGACCCCTACTTCTCTTATTAACGTCTAGTAGGGAAATTTTGCTTATTTAGAGGTCAGGACAGATGGCCCAACCATGGAGAGTAAAAGGTGCCAGCCTGGTTGACTCCAAGAAAGAAGTTTCCTTTGGCGATGAGTCAGCGAGGAGTGACCCCTCCTCGTCCAACCAGCAGGCCTGTTTTGAATAGTGAATGACTTATTAAGGTTTTCAGGATGGGGCCCTTCAGGATAAAAAGTCCTTTGGGTCCACGTCCAGCAGAATAGAAACTCATTAAAATATATTACGCAGAGCAGAGTGATAACCAACCAATGTAGAGGAAAATCAAAGAGTGCCAATAGGAAGAGGCATCATGCCCACCCTGGACACAGGTAGTTTAGAGGCAGACCAGGGCCCCAGCACACCCAAAGGGAATCTCAGCTCCTTAAACAGGGAGTGGGGCATCAAAGGCCATGCGCGTGCATCTAGGAAGTACATGAGCTTTGACAAGGGCTGAGGCTTGGCCAAGAAGCAGCCAAGAGAGCAAGGCCTGGCTGGACATGTGAACCCTTTCGTCACAGATTCTCCCTCAGCCGTGGAGGAAGCCAGGCTGGGGTGAGGACCAGGGCTATTGAGGGGCAGCATGCGGGAGCCAGAGGATGGGGCTGGGTACCAGGTAGGCCCCAGGAATGTGGTTCTGGAGAGAAGACAGTGGAGAAGCGCCCCTTCAGCCCCTTGTGCCAGATACAACCATTACTCAGAAGGATGGTCCCCATCTTAATAGCAAGTCTACTTGCATCAACCACTTAACCACACAGAGCCTGGCCTCCAAGCCCGGGGAGTGAGATTCAAATGCTTATTTGCAGGTTTACTGAGTGATAGAACTCAGGAGCTAAGTACCTAGTACATCCGGGCACTTGATGTTCTCCTCTCTCCATTCTGTTTTGTATGTTTTAACAGCTCTCATCACCCACCCAGTAAAGCCCAAACCCCGCCCCC